TGCTGCGTAGTCTACCTTCTTAAGATTAAAGGATCATATATGTAAAACACAGAGGCCATCTAGAACAAACCACTCTTATTACAAATGACAGACCCAAGGCACAGGGAGTTTAAGTGACTTGCCCAAGAGTTAGTAATGATCAAATATAGGGTCTGAACACACATCCTCTGACTCTGAAGCTAGTGCTCTTAACAGGGGTGGAGAACTCTCAGCCTCAAGGCCACATGTGGCCCTTTAGGTCCTCAAGTGCAGCCCTTTGACTGAATCCAAACTTCACTGAACAAATCCCCTTAATAAAAGGATTTGTTCTGTAAAGCTTGGACTCAGTCAAAAGGCCGCCCCCAAGGACCTAGAAGGCCACATGTGGCCTCAAGGCCGCAGGTTCCCCATCCCTGTCTGACTAAACCATGAAGATTTTAGGGAGCAAACATTATATATATATACAGGACATGTTTTCTCCTTCTGGGGCCACATCTGTTTCAGTGTCTCCAGGTGCAGTTCTGCTATACAAAAGACCATTTGTACTGTAAGTCCTTTCTAAAGACTCAAAATTAAATTATTTGGCATCTGTAAAAGCTCTCTAATAGCTTTATACTTACATGGTTCCTTTTATCTGAAGAAGTCAAAGTACTTGATTCTTATTTGATTTAAAGTTGGGCATTGTCAGATGCAGCCTTGCATTTATTTGAACATTTTTTTTTTATAGCTAAAAGCCAATTTGGCAATATTTCCTCCCTTTTGAACTGTTTAGGAGTGCCTTATTAAGGTGTTTTTATTAAGCCCCCAGATCCTGTATGAAGATTCTAAGGCAGGAAGAAAGCATATGGCTCTTGTTTAAAAATGGAAGCTTTAGCTTGGTATTTTAACAAAATCTGAGACAATTAGCACCTCCCCAAGATCCTGGAAAACCAGAGCTGCCAACGAGCGGCCTGTTTCTCCTGGCAGAACAGACGACATCACTGCTTTCCTAGACCCAGGGAGAGTTCGGGACAGCTGTAATGTCACTTGTCTTGGCAGAGAGTCCAGGATGTTGGCAGCTCTGATTTCTCAGGACTCCAGAGGAGTCATCTTGTGAAAACTTTTTCCTTCCTCAAAAGAACAGCTGTGGATTCACCAGCCCATTGGCCTTTCCAAAAAAGCAAATTTTAACTTTTATGAAAACTTCTGCAATTTTCTTTTGTGTTTCTGTTGTGAAAACTACTAAGACAGTGGAAAAGGCCATCTTTTCCATTGCCGATGCAAAGAGTGGGATGCTGCCTGAGCACAGGGTTAAAATGGGGATTGCTTAGAGTTTATGTGTAGAGAGGTTGCAATGGGTTTTGGGAAGAGGGCATTGAGTATTTATGAATTGCACATTCAAATGGAATATGACCGGTAACTATAGCAACTTTCTTCCCTGTGTCCCCATATGTCCCCATGACAGAAGGAAAGGCTGCTATTGGAGAAGTCACCTCCCTCCTGAAATGAGAAATCATTTCCCTGATGTTCTTAGAATCACTGGGTCATAGATTTAGTACTACAATCAACCGTAGACTGCACTGAATCCATCCCTCATTCTAAAGATGAGCTAACTAACACCCAACGAAGTTAAGTGACTTGCCCAGGATCACAAAATTAGGAAGTGTCTGAGGCAAGAGTCAAAAGAGTCAAAAATCTTCCTGGCTCCAAAGTGAACTTCCCTGTTATCACACTGCCACTCTATCAACTCTCTGTGTCCAGGCCAATTACCACCTTAGTACGTACAATGCAGAAATGACAAAGGTGTTTTTACTAGGCACGGAGTAGGCTTGATTTCTTTTTCTGCAATGCTGCAAAATAACCTTAGTGGCAGTGAATGCTGGTGAAAGGAGCAACAGGGTAAATATCCCAAACAATGCCCATGGGCTCCCCCAAGATGTTTTACCTGAGACAGCTGGAAAGTTCAGTCCTGAAAACACGGGTGTTTGATCATTCTATCTGGACTGACTGAACCAGCTCCCAATCTGTGGACCACAGGTCAGTTTTCTTAAATTTGTTTTTGTTTTTGTTTTTAACTTTGATCAATGTATTTCAATGCAACTGGTTTTCTTGGTAATCTTACATCTTTTATTTTATGCATTTAAAAGCCTTGTTCTATTGGTTCATGTTCTTTTTTGTACTTTTTTCTTCTGTGAATTTTTAAAAAGTATTATTAATGGGGCTGGTTCGGGGTTTTTTTTGCATATCACTACCCACTAATCTACCATTCCTTGCCTCTTTTCTTTATTACAAATATATTTCCAGCACAACAAATTATGTCCTTAAACCTTTTTATGATGAGAGCTTGTAAGGAAAGCTTATGTTCATCATTGGGGAAGAAGTAGACTAAAGTTCCCAGATTCCACCAAGGCTGGAGTGATGTGTCCCTGGGCTCTTCATGTAAAGAAGGAGTCTCTGACACGAAGTCTACTTTAACTAGTAATATTTTTATCCCAATTTTATACCGAGATAAAGTCAAAATAGTTAAGTGACTTGCTAATGTTCACACAGCAAATCAGTGATGTAACTTAGATGTTGCGATTTGTCCTTCATACTCAAAGAGGCCCATGACATCAGGAGGATGATGACATGACTTCATTGAATTAGATTTGAGGGAGGGCGGGCTGTGCAAGGTTACCAGCCTCACGTTCTCCTCCAGAGCCATCTGGGTCCAGTGGCCACGTATAGATCAGGGCTACTGGAGGTGACCTGGGATGCAGTGGGAGACCTTGGCCTTTGTAAGCTAAGGTCTTTCTGAGTTCTCACTTTGAGTGAGGCAATGCCCATTCTGTGAATAGGCCTGTTGAAGTGAGTCAAGAGATGGCCCCTTTCATAAAAAAAAAAAAATCAAACTGGGAGGGGAAGACCCTCAGGCTTGCAGGACAAAAGAGAAACAGTTACTATTTACATTCACTCAGGAAGGCCCAAAGCACCATTAAGTGGTGCTTGGATGGGGACCAACTGTTGTCCAGTCAATGAGAGTGAATTGGGTTTAGGGCATGATATTTGAGAAAGAAATCTAGCCAGTGAACCCCAAGATAACTAGACATCCAAATTTTCCTTTTTTCAGGCAGAACACCCTCAGTAAGGATATGATACCTCATTTTGGCAGAGGAGAGGGAAGGGGAGGAGGGGGAGGGGAGGGGAGGAGAAAGAGAGGGGAAGGAAGGGGATGGGAAGGGGGAGGAGAGGATGAGCTGACTTGCCCAACTGGAACTGGCCAGCTGGGTCCCCCATCTGGGCAGCTCGGACTACTCACAGGTGTGATTTGTCTTCCGTTCTCCAAGAAGACCATGACGTCAGGAGGATGATGATATTAACTTAGACGAGAACTCAGGTCTTTCAACTCCCAGCCCCATGCATTTTTTCCAACAGATATTGGCATTTTAAGTCACATGGATCAAAATATGCTGGGAGGATGAAATAGTGTTGCTTTGTCAAAGGATCTCCAGAATTTGAGAAACTAGCCAATTCTCTTCACCAGAGTAGCCATTTCAGCATATTATCCAACTGACAAGCCCTTTGGTATGCATGCTAAAGTTCATGTGTGGAAACAAGCCAATTTGTTAATGGGTTTCCCATTGTAAATTGGTTGGTCTTAGCATATGTGCATATTGCACACATACTTAAGGTACACATTCTTTTTGTATGACATGGCAAATCCTAGGTTAATTCCTGTGCTGGATTCCCCATAACAAATAATAAATTGAACATTTTCCATTTTGAAATTATCCTTGGAATATACAGGAAAATGTGGTGTCTCCAGGGGAACAAATGAGTCGACTAATGGTTTTTTCAAAGTGCCACAAAAAGGACATTGGTGATGAGTCATGGTTTGGGACAAATTTCTAAGACCTGGAAAAGTATGATAGGGAAGTAAGAGGCTGGCTGAGCCTTATGGCATATTGCTATATTAGTCATCCAATAAAAATGGAATTTATGGTCCATAATTGCATTATTATAAGATACAATAGCATTTTTTAAAATAGGAAGCTATAAAAGCTATAATTTTAAAAGCTTCTCCATGTTTTCAGATGACATAGGCTTGAGTTAAAGTGGGTGTGCAGAATTCTAAACAGTACCTCCAGCAACCGTTTTCAACAGGAAGTAATACTGTTAAAGTGATGTTGTCAGACTGAGGGAAGAAATGAACTACCACTGTTCTTAAAAGTAGGGTTTTAGGTGGGTATCCAGGAATACCCTCAGCTAATGCCTTCTCCCTTCCCCTTGCCACGTGCCAAGCAATTGAACTCATTAATTAATGATATCTATTCACATACTTTGTTTAACCACTCAAAGGGTAAAATTTTTTAAAAGTGACCCTCAGAATGGCTAGGTTCTATTCTCTTCAATGTCTAAATCACTCCTTCCTAGTTAATATCAGGCACTTAGGAAGCTATATTAACCTTCCACTGGGGGCCCAGACAGATTCAGCATGGAGGGATGGAGGGCCTAAGAGAATGCTGCTTTATGTGACTTTTAAGTCATTTAAATGTAACCCTTTTGTCCACTTTTCCTCACCCTCACCCCTATACACAAAGAGACCTCTTATCTTACCCAGAGATCTGGGAATTTCAAAATCTGACATTTCCCTATGAGTAGCCACCAGCTCCCCTTACAAGTATACAGGCTCACAAGGCTCAAAGTATGCATTGAAAATGGTTGCTGGAGGTACTGTTTAGAATTCTGCACACCCACTTTAACTCAAGCCTATGTCATCTGAAATAAGTTCACGGAAGCAAATAGGATTCACGTTTGAGTCTTTTAAGTGAGCCATCCTCCTCTGTCATCTCCCCATGACTAACTCGTCTTTGTAGTCCACAGTACTTTTCTGGGCTCTGGCCAAGAGGTGGTTGGTATTGTTCTCCCTCATTAGCGCTGCAGTCCACAGCAATTCTTGCTTATTTCCAGTTCTATATGCCTCCTGCCGCTCTTTCAGTAGCATCGCAGGTCTCCCCCAGTGTTTAGGTCAGGCAGTCTTCCATCGATTCACTGCGGCTTACCTCAGTTTCCAGCAGATGGCAGACCTCTTGAAAGTGTTTCTGTTGTCCACAATCCCTACTTCCAGTCCCATGGCTTTTGCTGGGCTTCACTCCTCTCCGCAGTTAAGCTCTCTTCCAGTAGATGGTGCTCACCACTCATCTGCTTCCTCCTAGTCACCTGCTCATTCCTTTGTATAGACTAGCTTTCCTCCGAAAGAAAGGCATCATCCATTCCTCTAACCTGAAAGAACACAAGATTGTTTCTTAAAGTTCAGAAACTCCCCAAGCCCCTTACTATTAAGACTTAATTTGTACGTGGTCTCTCTAACCCTAAACTTCACCAAAGCAGCCTTTTGGGGATGGAGGTACAGGTGGGGTGAGATAGGGAGGGGTATAATTTGGCTTAGAGGGAGGGGAAGAAGAGGAAATGCCCCTTTCTATTCAATCTGCTTCAAATATTTGTTAAGAACCTACTATGTGCCAGGCAGTGTGCTAAGTGCTTAGGATACAAAAAGAAGAAAAAGAGTACTTGCCCTCAAGGAGCTTACAATCTAATGGGAGAGATATCATGCAAACAAATTTATATGAAACAAACTATATACAGGACAAATAGGAAATAACTAACAGAGGGAAGGCACTAGAATTAAGAGAAATTGGGGAAGGCTTCCTATATGATAATAAAGAAAGGGCTCTAAACAGAGAAAGGTTCTGGAGTCATAATTCTTGGTTTTAAATCTCACTTCCAATATTACATGTTTCACTTTGGCCAAGTTAACCTCAGTTTCCTTATATGTAAAACAAGAAGTTTGGGCTAAATGGCCTCTAAGGTCCCTTCCTGCTCTAACTCCAGTAAAGAAAATTTGTTAAGCATCTATGTGTGCTAGGCCCTCCACTCAAATGAGTCCCTGACCCCAAACCACGTAGGTTTATGCTGATCTGTTGCTGCCTATTTTAAATTCTTTCCCCCTCTCTCCAGACAATACATCTTTCAACTCCATGTTGGTTTGGAATTAGGAGACCCTAGACTTGAATTCCACCTCAACCATGTGATCATGGGTGAGTCACTTACTTCACTGAACCCCAGTTTTATCATCTGTAAAATGGGTATAATGAAACTTACCTAATAAGGTTGCTGTGGTACTCAACTGAGAAAATGTACATAAAGTACTTTGAAACCTTAAAATGTTATATTATTATAAGGCCATCTGATATGAGATCCCTTGACTCTTTTCCTCCACACTGCAACACTCCTCAGTAGTTTTACTTATTGTCTCCTTCTCTCTCAGGGAATAAGGTGTCCCTTATACTTTGCCAAAGTTTATCCCTGGGACTGTTGCCCTCGATGACTTCCTCTCTGGTTCCATCAATCAATTTCTTTCTGTCATGTATATTTTCATTTGCCCCTGACTCTTCCATCTCTTTATAAATCTGCTCAGGTCCCCCAGGGCAAAAACAACACAAAGCAAAAACCATTTCCTTTAAATTTTCCATTAAATTAATGTCATAAACTCATCAGGCTAAAGCTGGAAGGAAGCTCAGAGGCCAACCCCTCCATTTGCAAATGAGGGAACTGAGATCAGATGAGAAGTGAGCATCAGAGACGGTATTTGAACTCATGTCCTCTGACTCTAAGGCAAATGCTCTATCTACTGTACTACTATTACCTTGTTTTCCTCTCTTTTGAAAATTCTTGAGAAAGTATGTTCAGTGTATCCAGTTCCTCACCAATCATTCTTTCCTCAAATCCTTCCATCAATCCTTCCCCAAATGTTTCCTTCTTCACAACTTTATTATTAAATAAACTCCTCTGACGAGGATCACCTCCTATTGTCAAATCCAAAGACCTTTTCTAGGTCTTCATGTTCTTTGGCTTTCCTGCAACTTCCAACTCTCTTGACCATCCTTTTTTTGGATACTCACTCCTCCCCTGACTTCTAAGATGTTTCTCCTATTATATTTCCAACTTCTGATTCCTTTACTGGCTCATCTACTTCTTCCCTAACCCTAAGTGATAGCATTTGCAGAAGTTTTATCCTTGACCCTCTTCTTTCCCTTTCCTCTACTTTCTCCCTTACAGATCTCATTAAAAGTTTTAGAGCTTGAGTTCTCCTTTAAGAACTAGTGATGGGTCTAATAACCAAAATAATTTTTAGCAGTAGTGATGAGTATAAATTGTATTTCAAGATATCAACAACAACTATAACATGATTTGAAAATAGCTATGATTTGCATTGGTGACAAAGTTACAGGTACTCTTGAGACTACTGTGATTTTTAAAAAAATCTACATTCATAATCAAAGGAAATTCTTCGAAAACTGAAGTACTTCTCAGATTCTTTTCTCATCGTTCTACTGAGCTGTCACTGAGTTTTCAAAGACTCTGACAGTAGAATACAAGCTTCTACCATACCAGTAAGGCTTCACACACTGTCCTGACAGTGGACTGTGTTTGCTTTTGGAGGACTAACCTAGCTATATATGAAGAGGCTTATGACCACTTGGCTGGCTACTAGCTGATAAATTACCTGACCATCATGTTTTTGACCGCGATATCAGTAGATATAGTGCTGGATCTGCAGTCAGGAAATCTTGCCTCTGACAATTATTAGCTTTATGATCACGAGCAAGTCACTTTACTCTGTGCCTTGGGAGCCTCCCTAAGATTATAAATTAAAGAAGGACTACAAGCTGTGAGGGAGTTCCCACACCAACAGCATCACAAGTCCTTACTGTTTTCTTCCAGTGATATTGCCAGAATGCCACCATCTCTAAAGAATCAAAAGTTTGAGTCACCAAAAAGAAAAGAGGGATACATTGTGAATGCAAGTAGGCTGGAGTATATCTCTAATCAAAAATTGTATTCTCTAAATCACTATCAATTAGATACAACTCTGAGGTACCAATATCACACCTATTAGATTGGCTAACATGACAAAATAGGAAAATGATAAATGTTGGAGAAAATGTGGGAAAATTGGAACATTAATGCACGTTGGTGGAGTTGTGAAATGATCCAACCATTCTGGAGAACAATTTGGAACTATGCCCAAAGGGCTATAAAAACGTACATAACCTTTGACCCAGCAATAACACTTCTAGGGCTATATCCCAAAGAGATCATACAAATGGGAAAAGGACCCACATGTACAAAAATATTTATAGCAGCTCTTTTTGTGGTGGCAAAGAATTGGAAATAGAGAGGATGCCCATCAACTGGGGAATGGCTGGACAAGTTGTGGTATATAAATGTAATGGAATACTATTGTGCTATAAGAAATGATGAGCAAGCGGACTTCAGAAAAACCTGGAAAGACTTGTATGGATTGACGCTGAGTGAAATGAGGTGAACGTTGTACATAGGAACAACCATTTGGTGCAATGACTAACTTTGATAGACTCCAGAGTAAGAACTATGGAGTTTGAATGCAGATTGAAGCATACTATTTGCTCTTTTTTTTTCTTCTGTTTTGTTTTGTTTCTTCTTTCTTGTGGTTCCTCCTATTGGTTTTAATTCTTCTTTACATCCTTGACTAACGTGAAAATATGTTTAATAGGACAATATATGTTGAGCCTTTATCAGATTGCACGCTGCCTTGGAGAGGGAGGCAGACAGGGAGGAGGAGAAAATTTAAAACTCAAAAACTTATGGAAGTGATTGTTGAAAACTAAAAATAAATCAGTTAAATAAAAAAAAAACAACAAGTGGTCAGAGACTTTAGACTAGGAAGAGAGATCGGTAGTCAGGGATCCTGCACTAGTAGTTCATTTGTTTTATTTAATTATAGTCAATTGAGTACTTTTGCATTGCTCCCTAATTGTTTTACATGAACAAATTTTGTTTCACATACAAGATTATAAGCTCCTTTAGAGAATGAAAAAAAAAGAATCATATTCCAAAAGTAGTATAAATCATATTATTAAACAATATGACTAAATAAGAAGGTGGCCAGTCATTTAGTAAGATTAATAGCCTCTATGCTCCATTGGTAAGCACAGAAAAGTAAGAGGAAAGCCCTTCTGCCCCACTCCCTCTCAGCACAATGGTAGAACCATTATGGAGTATTTGCAGAGGGTTATGAAGTTGTATATAAACTATACCTTAGGGAGAATACTCATATCATTGAAAGCACAGATCTATCAAAGTATATGAAATCTACCAAAAGCATATAAAGACAAGTATGAGAGAGAGATAGACAGGGATAAAAACAGAATAGATAGATAATAGATACTTATCATACCTAGAGATATAGATACCTCAATAAATACATACACAAAATGAGAAATACTTATACCACACAGGAGAAAAGACACTATAAACATGTTTTTACTATTACTGTTAAGGGTGTATTTTAAGTTCTAACTTGTATTTGCCAAGTTCTGGAATAAAGAAGGTTTCTAGACTCCAGACAATTACAGTTTTTTTTTCCTCTGTTTTGTAAACTTATAAATGAACAGACTTGACTACTGCTGAAAAAGAGTGAAAATCATTCCAAAATGAGGGATAGTACTAGGAAAAATAACGGTTATAAAAATCAATGATGCTACACAGTACCCTTTTTGTTCCCTGATGGCCTATGACCAAATTGTGTCTTTAGTTAAAAGTTCTAATTATGAATGGAATTCAGGTCTGTAGCTGATTGTTGGAACCAAAGCTAGGGAGACTAATTCCAATCTAAATTTGTTCAGAAATACGTAGCTCAAGTGCAAAGGGATCTAGGTGGGTTCCTCAAGAAGTTCCCTGACTTTTCCCTTGTACAACAATAATAGGCATTCTGTGAAGGGGCAGAAGTGAGACCAGCTTTCCATATGACCAATGCTACAAAATGAATGATTAGCAAAGCAATATTACAAAAGGATTTTTCACTTTAGAAGGGTGAGGAGGGGGAAAGAAAGGAACGATTGTAATTATAATATATTAATACTTATAATATTATATTAATTATAAGAGTTGAGTAGGACAATAATTGTGTAGGATATGCCTTATTAAACAGCTTATTATTCCATTTGCGTATAAAGCTAATATATTTCCTGTGAAGATTCGGGTGAAATTTGTTTTTGTTTATTTTTACAAAGCCACAGAAGGGAATATGAAGTTCTAAAAACTTTGCTGTCACATCTGATTTGGGTTAAGAAAGTGTTCTGGATAGACTGGTTAGGGAAAGAGTCCCAAATTCTCCCTGCTATATTGATGCCTGCATTACCAAAAATACTTTGCCTACTCCATTTCAAAGCATCCTTAGG